TTTTAGCCTCCTCGGGCACCAACTCGGCGCCGCTTTAGCGCCATACAATTTTCGCCCCAATTGTGGGCAAAAGCTAATCAGAAAGGTTGATGATTACCCTCCCTGATTGTAAAAACAGTTCCTATTTTTATCAGCGGTAACATTTGGAGTCATTTACATGCGCTAACATGAAATGCAAAATTTTGTCATCAGTCGGGACCGATCCCTCGACCGATTTTTCATACCTTTTTTGGCATTCAAAAGGCGCTCAGAAAAAATGGAGCCTAGTTTTGTACTCCATGCATGTGCCCCTTTATCATGCAAAAAACATTTTTCAAAAAGGGCTCCATGTCCTGAAAGACCTTCACTGGCAATTGAAGTCATTACCACAGCAGAGGACGCCCTGGACCGATTAAAGTGGCGACGACTGAAAAAGAAAGCGGACCTTCCGACTGCGCGGGACTGATACTAGGGAAAAGAAGAAAAAGAAGGGGAAGATATGCTATAGTATCTATAAACCCACGCTTTCTTCTAAATGAGCTCTCAAACGAATCAGGTAATCAGAAGCGCGGCCGAGGCGTGGCGCACACCAAGGCTGAGTAGGCCACTGCTCCCGCATGCTCGAAGCATTCTAACACATCTTATGTTCAGCGAGAACTTGCTTTACTTGGAGGATATAGCCAGTGAAAACTAAAAAAAACCGCGTTTTCAAGAAAATGGCTTGAAGAATGCCCCTCCAAACAAAGTCCCAACGGGACTAATTTTTTAACTGCTGACTATTCAGGATCGCTCGGGTTTCTTTTAGAAAGCTTGAAGTGCGTAGTTCGTCATACCGTGTTCAGCTTCCCCATTAAATGAGTTTGAAGGATGTCATGACCGTTTAAAGCTCGAAAAGTCGCGGTTCCAGAAAAATTCCGCAAACACTTCAAGAAAGTCCCAACGGGACTAATATTTTATTTGCTGACTTTTCAAGAACGATGGGGTTTGTTTTTAAGAAGCTTGAATCCTGTAGGTTGTCATACCTGGTTCAGCTTCCTACAACCGCTACTAATTTTTGTTCAATCGACGATTTGCGACGGATTCGATTCGCCGCAACCGTCTTTTTACCACTAGGGTAGGCCAGTTTCATGAAAACGCTCATGGATAAACCGATTTCTGTTTATTTCACTCCAAAAACGCTATTCGGTGTAAAAGTGGCGTTCAGTGAAATTGACCCACTGCAGAAGAAGTTGGTATCAAAATGTCGAGAATCGTCTGGAAAATGCAGTAGTGTCCTTTTTCATTTAACTTCGGAGTAGAACAAAAGTTCAATCAATTGCTGATTTTATTCTTATCTATTCCCCGCTGGTTATAATTATAGCGAGCGACGCTCCCTAATGAGCTGGCCTCAGGTAATTTGATGAACTCCTCTGAAAAAAAGTCGAAAAAGTGAATTAAGTGGTGATTTTTATTTTCACTGAATTGGTCGTGAGCAGAGCTATCAATTGGTATGATTTTCAGGCCGCGTAAGCCATTTTTGCAGGAATTATGGCGAGGCGACGGTTGCGACGGATCGAATTCGTCGCAAATCGTCGATTGAACAAAAGTTAGTAGCGGTATTGTAATTCAATGAGTTTGAACGAAGTTATGATTGTTTTGAATGTTAAAAGTCGCACTTGCACAGAAATAGTTCCAACGTGCTAAATTTTCACTAAATTACCTTTGGAAGAAAATTTAGACATGATTGGAGAGAGAATAATTTGAATTCAGGTCTCAGAGGGGGGATGATATCAAATTGCACATGAAGGGGCGGGGGGGGGGTTGCAACAATTTTAAAAGACCAACGATAGGGTTGACCCTAGTTTGCAGTACTCTGTGCACTGCAATGGGTTGGGAGCAGTTTATCATTGCTCTTCTACGGTTTTTTTTCTCCTCTGTAGGTTTTCTCATTTAATGCTATCATTTCTTATTAGGTACTCCATATCCAAAAATGTTTCCTAAGCCTTGAGAAACAAAGATGTCTTTTTAATTTGGTCTAGTGACATGATGCTCACTTTACCGGTTTTTCTTGGCCTCGGGCTATTCTAGTCCCAGAATTAAGAATCTCTGACGTCAGCATGGCCTACTCTGGTGTAACACGTCCCCCAAGAAACTGCTTCCGCTCAAGTAAGTTGTGGATTTTGTGCTTCTTGGCACAAGCCCCGTCCCTGGAGGATAGCGAAGGGAGAGGGCAGATTGGGGAGCAGAACATATCCAACAGAGCTGAGGAACAGTTCGGTATTGTGTTGCCATTGTCATGTCATAATTGTGACTATGCTCCCTATAAAACACCTTTGTGCGCCTACGCCTCGTTTCCTTCACACATACACCCGTTGGATGTGTAGTTGGACGCTGACCTTGAATCTCTACTTCATTTATGCGGAGTAGTATCGGGGAACGCTGCTTTGTAAAGTAATTTATGATAGCAATTTGGCTCCCATATTCCAAATATTAGGTCGGTCGATAATTTTTGAGAACCTTTGGTGTTTTTCGACCTAATTACTTATCTTATTTCTGTGATCAATTTACTCAACACAGTATACATCACCATTATTACCAACATATCATCAATGCGAGGGTAGGTGAACAACGTCTCTCTTGTTGAATTTCATAGAGTTCTGATCGAAGAAAAATTGGGGGTCGATTTTGACATCATGGTGATTCAAGTGAGATTTCTTTTCCAGAAAGTGATTAAGAGTGGAGAGCGGATAATTATTCGCTGGCACAGGGTCAATGCTACAAGGCGTAGCTAAAGGAACTGGCCGCCTGAGAGTCTCCAATTTTTTAGGAATTTTCTTAGCAAGGCGGGCTCGAACGCCTCGGAAAAAGAAGGATTTTGTCTTACTTTGCTTTCAAGTTGAAGGCATTGCCATCGAGCTGTCGACGATCAACTTCATCACTGACAGTGGTATCAGTTGGTGCCGGTTCCCAGCGCAAAGTTATTTCACTTATTCAGCATAGTATACATCACCATTATTACCAGCATATAACCAATGCGAGGGTGGGTATTCAGTGTCTCTCCTGTAGAATTTCATAGAGTTCTGATCCAAGAAATATTGGATGTCGATTTTGACTTATGGTGATTCAAGTGAGATTTCTTCTCCAGAAGGTGATTGAGAGGGGAGAGCGGATAGTCGTTCGTTGACGCAGGATTAGTGCTACAAGGCGTAGCTAAAAGAACTGGCCGCCTGAGAGTCTCCAATTTTTTAGGAATTTTCTTAGCAAGGCGGGCTCGAACGCCTCGGAAAAAATAGATTTTGTCTTCCTTTGCTTTCAAGTTGAAGGCGTTGCCATCAACCTGTCAATGATTCTTCCCATTACTGACACTGGTATTAGTTGATGCTGGTCTTCAGCGCAAAGGCCCTCCGGTATTGCCCCAACCATTCAGGCAGTTCGGATTCACAGAGAGTTGGGTTTATGCTGTCATAACTCCCGAATCGTTTATGCCAAGTTACTGCGGCTTGCGGATTTATTAGCACACTGCTTCCAGTCCGCATCACCAATAGGTATGATGGATGGTTATTTGAAGGAACTAAGGGAAACCAAGAGGACCATGATGATGTCAGATCGGGTGTAGAGCTGATTCGGGCTCAGAGCGTTAGAGAGACAAACTTAACATATCCAAACCTTAACGACTTTATCGAAATGTCTCAGTACACTCACCTTGTAACGCCAAAAGCGCTCTAACAAACAGTGCTCACTTTGTTCAGATCCTTCTCGATGGCGCTGGATAGGGCATCGAGATTGTCAGTCACGGGGTGATTGGAGTGTGGAACATCTTCGAATAAAACGAGGGAACCCTGAAAAGAGGTAACCACTAGAGCACGTGGATTGAGAGAGCGTGCCCTCAGCTATCCTCTGGGTAATCCTCCTTATAGCCCTGCTCGTTTCTATTGCTTTTCGAACCTGCAATGCGTCCTAAGGCCAATGTACGGGTTGCAACATGGACAGCTTTTCTTCATATACTGTCTTTAGACGGGATCGTATCTAAAAAAAATCCTCCATGCTCCTCTTAACCTGGTCGTGCGTATTACCACGGATTCATTCGTTTTAAGCAGAAATGCTCTGCATCTCGTGGAAGGCATTGTAGTATGCTGGCATGAAAGCATGCAGCCGTTGAGAGTGGAGCTTTCACGGGAGCGGGCGTAGAAAAGGCAGTGTGATTTTCCTAGAAGAGGAGAGCTCAGCAGTTATCTTAATAATTGATGTTTCTTGTTACAGTTCTATCCAAAGCTGCAACTATTCGCAACTTGATTCAGCAGAGTAGAGGGTTTTTGAAAAGATGAAGAGGAAGCGAGCCAGAATCCCAATCCAAATCCACCGCGGACGTTTCAGCTGGTCCTTTCTCAATAAAACTAGCGTTTTACAAAATTATGGATCCTGCTTAATCTCATGAACATCAATTTTACCATAGAATTTTGAGTGTCCCGTTTCATATGTGTGCTTTCCTTATAGCAATGATCTAACTTTGTCCGGAAAACGGGGCTGAGCACGATGCTCCAGGTGCTTAAATATGGATTTTACGTGCTGCAGTGTCAACGACTGTACCCCGAAACTACGCAGTTCTTAAGATAATTTCCATTTCTAGAACTCCAGTACCCTCAACCATTGGTGGCACTCAAGTAGAAAAGCCTAAATGGTAGACCGCTTGAGTATTGTATTGGCGTATTGGTAAGTAAGTGTAGGCTGAAGTATTGGCAAGTATTCCACTATATACGGAGTTTAGTTATGGTAACACGCCTATATTTTGCGAAAAAACCAGCAGGAGATTCAATATTTTGAGGGTCAAATAATGAGCTGCAGGAAGTGATACTTTTTCGACGCAAACCAGAAACTGCACACATTGACTGCGGAAGGCTGCTGCGTGACTCTGAGGTTGGTAAAAATCTACGACAAAAAAATCTGTCGTATCGACAGTTTCCTTTGAACGAATCATTTAGCTCGGCAATTATACGAGAGAAATCGTAGCGACGCGCACGAAACTGCTCCATCACAATCTGTCAATGAACTGCGAGGACGTTCGAGCTCGAGTCCTCCCTCCGAAATCACTCAATCGAATAGATTTTGGAATAGCATATGCACGAGTAGTATATGAGGTCAAGGATGGTTCGCCTGGTTCGATACTACCGACCATACTCAATGTTCCTAAAAAATTCCAATAATACCTTTTTCAGAGTTACGAATTCATCGAAGATGAACTCAGATCAAGCTATCATCCGCAAAACGTCTTCTGTTATGCCATCGATTACAAAGCGAAGAAAGACTTCACGGAAAGTATAGAGGGTCTCGCCAAATGTCTTCCAAATGTTGTAGTCCCAGCCAGTTAGTTAACTTAGGCTAGCGCTTCTATTTTTCACTTTTGCTATATTTTCGGGGATTTGTGAGTTACTACCAGGAGTAGGCGATTTATAACCTTTCGGTTAACATCATCCCTCCGAAATTGACGAGGATATGTGTGCTGCAGGTTCGCATTCACATCAATGAAAAATTGAGGTCTTTTTAGGCTTTAGAGTGAGTCGGACGACATTAGAAATTAGAGAGCCAGGCTCACGCAAACACAGAATATAAGAGACGGCAAAGCCGTTCCTAATGGGAAAGACGATGGGATCGCCTTCCGTGATCCCCTACACTTGTCGCTTGGCATGTTCATAAGCAGGGTACCAAACAATGTTAAGAAATCAATGTGGATTTTCTTAACTCTACGGTACACTGACAAAGAAGCATCTATTCATGGTGTCGAACCAACGGCAACACAAGTGTAACACCTTAAAATACCGGTGAAAACTTGTTCTGAGCTTCTATTTCTCAACACTTACCTTTTTTGGTCATTTCTTTCTGGTTGTGTCCCTGATTCTTCTCCAATTCATATTATTTGCTGAAGACTGATTTTTTCGTTACTATTTCCTTTTCTTTAGAGCGCTTTTCTATCGGAAGGAAAGGAATCAATGGCACTCGTGCACATTACGAATGCATGAAATCACTACTGGCATATGAAGGCTGGGGATATGTCATACTTATGCAGGTTCCTTCAGTATTTCTTGACATAGGCATGTTTTGAGTAGCTTCTTACACATGATGGCTGAAAAGTTAATGCATTCAAAAACGCATTTATTCAAAGCGGCCCACTTTAGTACCAAGGCATTGAGTTCTCCAAAGTAACTGCTCATCTTGAGATTCTTTTTATTTTCACTTCATTACATAAACCATATAATCGACATATGTAGTGAGGTAACTATTTAGAATAGAGTTGATTCCCGAGACCTGTTGGTAAGATTGACGGCAGATCCTGAGATCAGAAGCGAGCGATCACGCTGACTCCACCGTTGTGAGTGGCCCTTTTCTAGGTGATTGCCCTAATCCTCTGAATGTGCACAGTTCACGACTTCCCACTTGTTGTGATTCCAGAGATGTGTACTTGAACCTCGAGTACAGCGAAGATGTTGTGAAGAGTAGAACAGGGAATATCTGGTTGCCCTGCGGGGTCTCAACTTAAGAGACCGCCCTTGTGCAGTCCTTGGTTATGGCTTGATGCGAACAAAGCTTCATAGCGTGTGTTCGGATGAGCTCTAGATCGAAACAACAATAATTTTTTGCACAGCTCCAGAGCTTTCGGACAACTTTGGAACATTCCGAACTCCAGCCTCTCTCTTCTTGTAATCTCGGCATGTCAGTCATAAATTGGATAAATTGCTCGTGCTTTACGAGGTTGTTCAGTGAAAATTAATTTAAATAACCTAACGTTCCGACTGAATCGTCGTTTTCACAGGCCGTCGGCCCCACCCTGCGGACCTCTCCGCTCAAAGGGTGGAACCGACGACCTCTGAATGTTAATGTTATGTTAGACCATTGAAATAATCGTTTCACCGAACAACCTTAAAAGGCTGCTGTTAGTAATCCTTCGCCGGTTTCGCAGATTTTGCGAGATTCGCACGACTCACCCGATTCACGCGACGGGTCACAGAAATCACAAGTGCCCGTTCAGTACTGCAAGGTGTTCTCAAATCCCTCCACCACTTCTGCATTATTTTAATGGTTGAATGACGACTGTTCATGATTCCACTTGTTTCATATTCAGTGTTTCAAATTTCCAAGTGGGGCACTTGCAATTTTAGGGATCCGTGCAAATCGCACTCGCGTGAAAGCTGCAAAACATGCGAAACCTGTGACGGATCGTGGACTCTGACATCAGCCAAAGGCACAAGGAATTCACCAGTTACATTCCGGAAAACTTATGATTTGATGAAGAAAGCAAGCGGTCAAAGTCGCGTCCTATACTTTTCCGCTACCCTGTATGTATGTTTGTGAGTTTGTCTGTCCCATCTACAAAATGGAGTGAGTGATAAGCAGCAAATGGAATAGACGTGATTACAAAAAAAAGAACAAAAATGTGTGATAACAACCAACGGCTGTATACACCTACTCAGCATATTTCCGGTCATTCCAGAAGGTGCTACAGTGGCAGATGGAGAGCAGTGGAGGGGAAAAGGGGAGGATAAGCAGAGGAGGAGGAGATAACCTTAATCAGGGAAGGGAGGTTCGGGCGGTTGGCCCGGGGGTACCCGGAAAGGAGGCCTGGTGCGCGACAACAAGGCAGCTTCAGCGGACGAGCTGCAGCGCGTATTGCAGTAATTTGAATAGAATGTACCATTGTAAATACTTTCTACATCGTCCATCACGCGCTGCGACTGTCCGCTGACTCTGTCTTCTGCCGCGCGACGGGCCTCCTGTCAGGTACCCTTTGCCGAGAGACCAATATGGCAAATACACATTTCAAAAACAAATTACAAACAGCCAAGAATAGATGCGCCACCCTCGCTGAGTGTTGCTAGTGAGGTCAATTCTCAAGCGATCAGCGTCTTCCTTTATTTCCGAGGACTTTTCACCATTAGACTGTCAATAGAAACTTTCTTATGAAGGGGGGAGCACTATAGTGCTCTCCAACATCTGAAGTAGAAATGAGGGCGCTCACATTAAAGGCATGCCCCAGGAATACATTGGTGTGGCTCTTGCACACCAATGCGAATGTATTGGTGGAAAGTGGGCCAGCGGTAAGGAAAGAAGGAACAAAATCCGTCGAAAACGCTTAGGTTTAGGGCTCACTCACCTTCCTAATCGGCTGTGCCAAGGGAATGAGAGACTGGGCGCAGAGAGGAGAGTATGGGACGAGGGAGCGCTACAGATGAGAGATTGCCAGACAACAACCTGATGAGAAAAAAAGTCTGCAGCTTGAGCAGCTTGCTTTGCAAGGCCCAAACGCTGTCGTCGGTTGATTTCCGTGCACGAGAACCCCACATTTGTGATTGACCTTTAGGGGTCTATACTACAGACCGGAGAGAAGCGTTCACACGACCTCTGCCAGGGTTGTGTTTGAGTAATCGGCTCGCATGGAGTGTACTTCTGATGAGTACCGTTGTAGTTTGGAATTCATCCTAAGATGCCTCTACAGTTCGGCCTATATGTGTAAGAAAACGGTCCTGATCACTGGAATGGGCATCATTGCTTTGGCGTAGGAGTGCAGGAGCTCCAGGACGGATCACCAGGGTCAACCGTCCGTTCGAACTGTTCGAACGGGGAGGGAGGTCGCATTTGTGTTCTGGAAGGGGAGAGGGGTCGCATTGGTCATTGGTCGCATTGCGTGCTTTAGTGACTAGGGGCGCAGGGCATAGGTGCGTGCGAAAAAAGTTGCCGTTTCACTGGTTGTATATGCCTCCCGCTCTACGGCTGTGCTTGAGGGAAAGGTGGGTGGAGTTTCGGAGTTTTAGGTAGGTTTTGGGCTGTGTCAACTGGTCCTAGAATCAAATACTATAGAAGAGGGAGAGGTCGCGGGTGGAAGGCTGGTTGTATTGGGGGGTCGCAACTGTGTGTTGGCAGGGGTCGCAACTGGACCCTCTCGAGAGGGAGGGGGTCGCAAAAATCCCGAAAATGTTCGAACGTGACGGTTGACCCTGCGGATCACCTGGAGCAAAAACTGGTAGAATGTTCGCAGGATGTGTTTAATGTACAACACTTCTCACAGGATGTGTTTATCAAAAGTGCACATCAAGTGAGTCTTCACGTACCCTTCCCTCAGTGTTAAGAACCCAAAGGCTTGCTCCCAGGAATAAGGAATAAGCAAGGAAGGCACCTCGAACTGGATTTTCAGCTGTTTGCTCCAACGTTGACAAGGTAGATGCTCCACTTTATCTCAGCACAGTTTGTCTTCATGTGGAAGAAAATGGAAACACTCCTGTATTCTCCATCCATAACAACAGTTAGTGAAAATTGTATTCCAGAATTACGATATTATGATCAAAAATGTATACGAGGCCGTGACTATACTGCAGGCTCTTGGAGGAGCGAATGATGTTCACGTGAGACCATGTGAAAGTAATCGTTATAATCACTCCCTAAAATGGGATGTTCGTTCTCTCAACTTCTATCGGAACGGTGGGTGATCTCTTCCTTTCAAACGAACGAGCGAAATTAGCCAAAATAGTTCTTCTTCAGCATAGTTTCAGATTCCCTTCCACTCAAGTTTTCAGAAGCTATTCAGGCTCGATATGCTTTTTTAGGTCTTCGGATGCAACTAGACATTCTTTAGATCCCTAAAAACTTGCTGGATTGCGCTCTCTTTACACCCTTATTACAAATGTGTACCACGATATGTGCAGGCCTATTGTCAGCATTCAAATCAACGCTTCAGAAAGCCAAATGACACCTTCTCAGCTGAACGGCTCTTTGACATTTGCTCGTGGGGCAGCACAGGGGTCGTTGTCGCGTCCTGCCGTTGACTGGATGGTTAACACAGTGGATCTAACGCGAACATTTGAACAGCTCGATATCGACGTATGTTCAATTTTCAGAATTTTATTGAAATATTTCCTTTTCTGAAAGCTATTTACAATTGGTCAACTACTGATTAAACTGCCGAACAACTTCTTAAAGGCATGCCCCAGGGTCATATTGGTGTGGCTTTTGTACACGAATGCGAATGTATTGGCGGGAAGTGGGCCGTTAGTAAAGAAAAAAGGAGAAGAATCCGTCAAAAAACGCTTAGGTTGAGGGCTCAATCACCTTAGTAATCGGCTGTGCCAAGGGAATGAGATACCGCGCGCGGAGAGGAGAGTATGGGCCGAGATAGCGCTAGAGATGAGAGATTGCCAACACACGACTGACAACAACCTGATAAGAGAAAAAAGTCGGCAGCATGGGCAGCTTGCTTTGCAAGGCCCAAGCGCTCTGGCTGGTTTCCGTGTACGAGAACGCCACATTTGTGATTGTCCTCCAGGGGTGTATACTACAAACCAAAGAGAAGCGTTCACACAATCTCTGCCTGAGTTGTGAATTCAAACATCCTAGCTATATATAACGCAAGCGGTGTGCGTGTGTGGTCTTTGTGGGTGTATGGTTGTCTGTCTGACAAGGAAATTCATAGCTCGGGCACAGTGGTCGTCAGGATTGTTTCAAGATAATTATAGGGGTGGGAATCATACTTGGTGGGGTAAAGAAAGTGATCAACAACTGATTAGGCGATAGATAGCGCCTAGAACGCAAGTGTCGCGATCAGAATTGGTTCCAGATATGATATAAGGGTTGGACGGGATCATATTTTGTCGGGTCACAAAGTGAAACGACTGATATGAGCAGATAAGAGGCGCTGAACACAATTTCACAAAATTCCTCAATGCCGATCGCAGCATCTCAGGAACTGATTTTGGTTCATTATCTGGGTTGACCGTAACAATATTCGTGGGGTCAAAAAGTGATAAACGAAGATGAGGACTGATAAATTACGAATGCGTACGAAGTCCAGAGATTACTGCGAAACAGATCGCAGATATATGCATTTCATTTCAATACATTTTCATTAGCGTTATAATTGTAGATTTCCAACACCTTTCAACCGCTACAACCTTCTATGAGTTCTTGAGGATGAATGGGATGCTCTATAATTTGATAGGTGAATACCAGGCAATATCCGCTTAAATTCCGCAAGATTATTCGACGTCGCTAAACTTCCTCAGTTCTCGATGCCATGTGGTTGTTTACATGCGATACACTTTAGCTGTGCACTTCCTGGCGCTTATCAACATGAGCTACAGCCACGAGGGCAACGGACAGTAATGCATTTACCGAAGCAGCTATAGTTAAGGTCGGTGAGACGCTAAGCTTTCACCGAATGTCAGTTTTTGTAAGAGCTTCCGTGTTCATGCGCGCGTAGGCGGGCGACTAAAACGTTGAAAATAATTTTAAACACCGAGTCTCATCGTTATCATCAATCTAGGTGTTACCACTCTTGTCCCAGCAGAATTCTGGGTGTAGAATTTCCTTTTTCAATTCCCTAACATTTCTGGAAGTTCGCTCACCTCTATGACCTGGATTTAACAAGACTTGGGAGTCCTTTCAAGACCGTAGGCGCATCTTTAGACTCAGACAATCTTTTTTCACTGGAAACAAAGTAGAAAGCGATAGTAATGAGCGTCCATCGCCATCGCAGTATTGGAATAGCAACACTACGTCACTTGTCATGCCTTGGTCTATTAAAAAATCTTTCGCTACGACTACAATTGTACGGAAACCTCCTTTCTTGATGAACGTCCGTGTCTACTGAGTGGTAAGATTGCGCGAATGTCTTCTGATCTAGCTTTACCTAATGCTATAGAGAGTAAAAAAATCATGGAAAGTGTCCCTGGTGCATCTGAGAATATAGCGCCGAAACAGCTCTATGCTGTCCACATCCAAAAGTAATTGCGGCTGGAGGGGTAGTTCAGTTCCTCCCAGTCAAAAAAAATTGCTCACGGAAAATTGTCCTCCTTCTTTCCTCACATGAAGAATTCATTTACAACCACCAGAGACTGTACTAATCGTCCACTAAAAAGGAGATTCCATGACCACTAATTTAAGCCGATGAAGCGATGTGGGTACAGGCAAAGCGATCGACAGGTTAGAGTGCAATTAAGTAATCAAACGATGCTGCCATAGGTGGTGAGGTCGAAGAGCTTTTCTAGTGAAGGGAACTTCAGAGGTCAGGTAGAAGCGTTCCCGCGGCCAGCATTTGTGACAGATGCACAGCGGAATTTGAATAAGTAGTGGTTTATTTATTTATCGAGTAGTTCACTAGAGCGACTTGTCACAAGACTATGACTTGCTTGTAGAAGTTTTACACTGCGCACCGCCATCGGCTGCGACAACAAGAACTCGAAAAGCACGATCGATGGCAATGCTCGCACACTCCTTCAACAATGGGCCGCCGGCTCACTCATTCACTGTAGCTCTGCATGCACGCCACTGAAACGTGCTACGATCAACAAGGCGTGCCGCTCCGCTGTGCAGGAGTTGATTCGGCGATATAAAAACACTCACTCAAGGACGCTGCAGAAGCGAGAACGAGCCTCAAGCGATGTCTTCGGGACATTAATGACTCTCGGTTGGTTATCACGGTCATGAGAGACGTGATGGGCAGACCACAGACATTGAGAACGAAGGCCGAAGAGTTTGCCGTTAGTTTCTATACCGACCTCTTCCGATCGACGACACCGGTCTCCCGTATCTCTACACCAACACAAGAGGATGGCTTCACGGATAGAAGAGTGGAAGATAGAATACGCTCTACGTCAGATCAAGCCGAGAGGGTAGCCAAACAGGACCGCATCTCAGTGGACTTTTCGAAGGTACTAAGTACCCGGACACGCACAGAATCCCGGACTGATAGAAAAGGTCAAATGCGATTTTTCTGTTCGAGAAAAGCGAGCGTGACCAAATGAAAAACCATCGTCCCAGCTCCTCTCACAGCCGGACAAGCTGTTTACGAAGATTATTCTGAGCAGACTGAAAAGACAACTGGATGACTATCAACCAGGTGAACAGGCCGGGTTCCGCGAGGGCTTCGCTCTATGGACCATCATGGACTCCACACCATCACGCAACTGATCGAGCAGATCACGGGATACAAGCAGAAGCTCCTTCTCTGCTTTCTCGACTACACAAAGGCATTCGACAGTGTGGAGCTCAACTCTGTCTGGAACACACTACTCCATGCGGGCGTCGACCAGTACTACATCAACCTGCTGAACAATGCAACACAGCCACGTTTGCGCCTATCCGCATTTTTCAACGAGAGCTACGCGTGCCGATTGAAAAAGGAACTAGGCAGGGTGCTACTCTCTTCCAAGCTATTCACCACCGCACTCAACCACGCGATGGTACAAATGGACGATAGAGGTATCAACACCGCCAGCGAGAAATTATCTGACTTACGCTTCGCATACGACATCGTCCTCATCAGCCAAGCCAAAGGGAGTTATAGCAGAGTTGGACAAAATCGGCAGAGCCATTGGCCTCGCGATGAACCAGAGCAAGACAGTGGTCATGCGGAGCGAATGGGCGAATGCGTCACCCATCATACACAGAGGCGCTGCACTCCCAGACACCGACTGCCATGTCCACCCCGGTCGACTCACTTCCATGGACAAGAATTCGCGCGCAGAGAATATGAGGTGCATGGGTGGCAATTGGAAACATCAAAAGGCGAGCGCTCATCTCCAAACAAAAAGATACCGACCCATTCAACTCTGCGATACTGCCCCTACTATGCTACGCATTCAAGACGTGAGCAGAGACCAAGACATCTACGATGGAAGACGCGCGCACAACGAGCTGGAGCGGACATTGCTGAAGATCCGCCGGAAGCAGATAAGCCGCAACTTGCGTAGCGCAGACATGCGCCTAATATCCGACATCCGTGACGCCGCGGTGTATACGTAGGACGCTAAACGATAAGTCGGACACATGGTCGGACGATAGGTGGATCACTCGCATTATGTTCTGGTATCCACGAGACCCTAAACGCACACTTGGCAGTCCTGCACACAACTGGGATGACTCCCTGGAACGTAAAAAGCTACGGACCAGCAGTGGGCCCAGCTTGCCCAAGATCTTCGAACGTGAAGGGGAACGTGTGCTTACCATTGAGGATCATCGGCCGATGACGAGCATCCAAATATCCAAGTAAGCAAGTTCACTAGAGCGAACGTATTTTTTCATTATTTGGTTTCCTTCCTGGAGGATGGCACTCAAGCTGCCGATCTGTGGGAAAGATAAAATCATAGCTGTTCCAGTGGTCAAATCCTTTGACTAATAAGGGATGCCGCTCAGAGTTTGGAGCGCCTTTTGAGCATTTTTTTTACATGCTGAAGGGGCTCACACCTGGATCACAACACTATGCTTCGTTTTCACAAAGCGGCCCCCTCAATGCCAAAAAAGGGTCGAAGAAGGTGATAATAATCGAGACCCTTTACAGCCTTGAAGTGGCGTTTCGTTTTCTTAGAATAGATGACCTTTGTGCTGAAGGGTACTGGTGAAGATGATCGAAATTGAGCTGAAGTCCGCCATAAATTGAAGTAGTGGTTGCTGACGAGAGTGTAGAGGTTTCATAGGCGTCGTCGGCACTGTACCACTCTCAATGGCCTGGTGGTCATGGACAGTGTGTTAGATTCGGACTGTCGCTTCAAGAGACTTTGGGGATCGACTCCGCCTCGTGGCAAGCATTTTCCTTCCAGATTTTTACCACTGAATCGGCACAAAATGGCTCCAGCGTCGAAACTACCGCTACGAACACAATCAAGGCCATAAGTAGCCCCTGGAAACGAGTTTCCATCTATAAGTGGTGGAATAAATTCGCAGCGCCAAAGTAGTGTCAATTAGCGCCAACGTCAAAAACGAACGCCTTATCTGATCATATCAAGACCCTGATTTACCCCTACAGGTGAAATTGCAGGAAAAATCAAGGTTTTGACATGACTTCGGGTGGTCATGGGTTACAGCTCATCATAAACGACGGCGGGCGT